TTAAAAGGAACTGTCTTTATCAAGGATTAATCAATCAAGATTTGCATTATAAGTTGACTCAAGAGAGAGAATCCGCCTATGCCATTGCTTTCTGGGGTATGCAGTCTTCAGAAAGATGAAAATGATGAGAATCAAGCATAGACGATAAAGGGGCAAGGAAGTACCAGGCTATTAATTGATCCCTTGGTTCTCCTTTAGAACGTTTGCTCGTTCTTCAGGTGGAAGATATTCGCGGTGACGTTAGACGTTGAATTACGTTTGATCCGACATACATTCAAATAATTAGGAGAGCGATGTAATTTACCAAGCTTCCTCAAAGCATTTTTGAATTACATTTACAGATATATATACATATATATATATATACATATATATATATGTATATATATATATGTATATATATATATATATACATATATATATATGTATATATATATATCTGTAAAAGCGCGCGCGCATACACACGCACACAGGAAGATCTGGCCATTCTTACGCCTTCCACGAAATGAACTATCGATTTTGCATAAGTTATAACGAGGGAAAACACATTCGGCTGGGTGCCAGTTTTCCATGGAATGCGTGTGCAAACAGAGATAAACGTGCCGATGGTTTTCCACGGAGAGAAAAGGTCCACGAGAGCGTGGAAGCTGTGGAGTACAGAGCTCTTGATGTCAATGGTCGAACGCGAAGGGGTGGGAGAGTCGGGTAATAGTAGTAGAAGTAATAGTAGAAGAGAAATGAAAAGAGGTGGATATATCTAGCTTGATGGAGCAACATATAATATTTGTTGTTCTTTATCATTGTTAATCCCACGGTTATTCCCCTGATGATTACATCTCACACTATTCTTTCCAAATTTGAAATTACGAGCACCTGTTAATTTATTGATGGGTAGATGGATGAATGGATGGATGGATGGATGGGGGAGAGGGGGGAGAGAGAGAAAGGGAATAAAAAAGTGATTATATCTCTGTTAATTAGAAAGTATCAGTTAATTTACTACGAAGATTTATTAAACACTTATATAATTCTTTTTTCACTGTTTGAACCTCAAGAAACGTGTATTATATTCCTCTAATTTCTCATTGGTAATACATTTCTATTATTTTTTTTTTTTTTCATTCTTTTCAGAATAGAAGCAGATATATTCGAGACGAAATAAATAAATTTCATAAAATTCAAGAAATTTATTCGCGGCGTTATCAAACACGAAGCCAAATCCCTCTCGATATACTACGTATTAACGCAAAGTATTAACCGTAATTTTATGAACCCATAGGAATTTGCGATATATTAACATGGATTTTCTTCGAAAAACATTTTCAAAGAGCATTACCATTTGAATATTTCGTCGGCAAAAGTTTTACTGAAACACGACGAAGAGAAACGATATCAAAATTTTCATATCATTGGTCAACAATTATAATATCGACTTTGATTATTATTGTTCTTGTTATTGTTGCCATTATTGTTGTCTAATCTAATGGATATGTGAATGAAAGTAAACAAAAAAAAAACGAAAGAATAAAACGAAACTCCAGAATCCTTTGTAATCATTTTATAACGCCACTATTCGACTTTTCTCCCGACTTCGATCCGTTCGCTTTCATTTTGTTCGTTTGATCTTATAAATTCTTGTTTTAATTTCTTTAGAAGCTCTCCCTCACCCCTCTTATTTAAACTTCCCCTTTCTTTTTCTTTTAATCATAGCAACAATTGGCCGGATCTTTCGTTTTATCTTCCCTTTTTTTTCTCAACGCTTAACACAATCCTGCATGACCGTAATTTTTTATTACAAGCTTTGTGCCACGCAATTAGTATAATTTTTAGGTTAGCATCTTGAACAACCTACTATTCGTAGTTCCGTATTTAAATTCTTAATTATAGTACGTTAGCGAGTTTTGCATTTATTAGATTTGGAACGCGTTAATTTGGTAAAGTTGTAATCAAAGGCAATAATATTAGTACAGTAAACAATACAATTATTGGCAAGTTTATATATATATACATTAATTGAAAATTGTAATTGTATTGTACAAGTTTTTTTTTCGATAGATGTTTTCCGATACACCTAATAATTTTTTGTTTATTATTATATTATTATATCATTATATTTATTATTTTTATTATGTTATATTGTGTGTATATATAAGATTATATTATTATAATAATACGTAAATGTTGAAAAGAATAAGTTTATTATAATATGAATTTATGAAATAGGTTTTATTAAAAATTCAATAAAACTCCAGTTCAGAATTTTAGAAACGTTTTTAGAAACTTAAAGCCATATTAAGAGTTTTTAGAAATAAACGATACTAATATTTTCGGATTAAAAGTTCTAATGTTTCTCCACTCTAGTTTTCCGTGAACATTTAAAAATAATCCAGTTTTATAAATAGAATATATTTATTCAAGGAGAAGTGGGCTAATGATTCGTTTGTTGGATTTTTGTAATAATTGAATAAGTTTCTTATTTGATTAACGAAACATTCGCAATTTACGTGGCTTCGAAACAAAAGTTTCCTTATTATGTTTAACTATATAATACTCGTAAAAATTATAGAAAAATTTTTAACAAATTTTAATTTATTAAAATAAATAAGAATTATGTCTGTTAATTTTTAAGATAATCATTGAATTTAATATTAATTATAAAAATCCTTATCTCTTTTATATAAATACATATATCTTATATGAATCAATATATCTCTGAATCGGTCGAATCATTTTAAAAATTAAATTCTTCATTCATTTTTATATTGAAAATTATACTAAGTAACACTTTCGATAAATATCTCTTTAATCGATTTAATTATATTTTCAATTCATTCACACAATATCTCGTACAGTTGTAGTCTATATTAAACGAACATGATACTACAATTCAAGTACTAGAATCGAGCGGGATGTAAATGATAAAACAGGTTGAAGGTGATGGTATTGGGTGTGGTAGTGGTGGTAGTATTGGTGGTAGTAGTAGAAGTGGTATATCGTTTGGATGGTTAGAGGAGGTTGAGTCTGGAGGGTGAAAATAGGAGGTAACGGACAATGAGAGAGATGCAAAGATGTAAATTATAGTGGCATGTTAATAGGATGAAATGGTAGCGCTAGATCAAATATAATATTAGCATCATGAATTGTATGTCGAATTCCTCTTTCCTTCTTCTTTTGTGCCTATATTATTTTTCATGATCATATGACAACAATTTAATTGTCGATTATGTTACGAACTATCTGATTTAACCGTAATAAATACTGAATATATATATATATATATATATATATATATATATGTAGAGATAAATATATTATATATCTTATATTTATTATGTTTCTTTCGTTATAAAGTAATCATTGGTATAATTGGATCGAAGTTCCATTAAATATTAATCGATTATGTTCGTTCGATAAATATTTGGCACTTTTGTTAATTCGTTAACTGGAGAGAATGGATTAATTAGTCACGAATTTTTCTTTTTTCTCGCAATTAAAAAATAAATAAATCATTGGTATCATTCTTTCATACTTCTACATCTAGTAGGAAAATGTTATTTTCAATTTATCTGTTTACCATTCATTAATTTATCAGGAAGCCCCAGTCTTTATTCATAGTATTTTATTTTTAAACGAAATAAAGTTCATATATTGAGACTCGTTAATCGAAGATCTCCTCGTGTGATAGATTAATTAAACTTTTTATGATATTTTCCTAAGGGAAATTTTTTCGAATATCTTTCGACCCTTTAAATCGTACTTCATAAATTTTCTTATTTTTTTTATTGTTGAATATGTATGATATCTAAAATTAAATATATATTGTAAGTGGTGAACAAGATATATAGACTACAAATTTATATGAAAGATTTATTTGTCTTATTTTATACATTTCTCTCCTCCTATAAAGAAAAATTTTATAGAATCTAATTAATGTAATTTTTTAACTAATTTTTCTAGTCAATAATATGTATTTTATTCTAAATTTTTTATGTAAATTAAATTAATTTTTTGAATGAATTTTTATGAGAGCTATCAAACGTAGATTACACTGATGATCCCTTATTTTATGACTATATATATCATCTTTATTAAATTTATTAAATAACATAATAGAGACAGAGAGAGGAAGAAAGAAATTTAAAACAATATATATATACTTATTATTATTCTAATATGTGGAAAAATACATACAAAGATTTACGAAATTTATAGAAGAATAATATAAAAGAATTAAAATTTATTTTTGTTCTAATTATGAGACAAAATTTATTAATGAATAAAATGTTATTTAACATTTTAATAATTTATTTTGCATACGAACCAAAATATCGTGTATTTCATTATTTCGTAGTCTTCTGATTTGGAGAACAGCGATTAGTTAGAACATTTATGTCTTCGATCGATCGTTGTTATTAAAATAGCTCTTTCGGATATAATATTGAAATTTGTATAAGCAATAATTGTTTGGATTAAAGTACATTTTTAATTAATCATCCGACGAATTTAATCCTAAAATAGAGTCGATGATTAATGTTCATATTTATGAAATATTCCAAATTATTAGTACAAAGATATATATGTATATATATATATATATATATATATATATATATATATATATATATAAACAGGGTATTCTATATAATTGGAACAGACTATATTTCCTAAATAGTTGAGAATAGAATAAAATATTATAGGTGAAAGTTAAATGGTATCAAACGATGTATAATAATGCAAATAATTTTACGCACTTTTATGCATCGGTATATCAGAAAAATGCAAATGCCCTTTTATTTTAATGAAAACCTATATCTTCGATTATATTAGTTGATGCAGTTTTTTTTTATGTTTTTTATAAAAATATTAACATACATATATCCTGAATGTACACGTTAGGAAATTATTGTAATCACATTTTTCTGAATTATATATATACGACCAATAGACATTATTGATTCTAATCGTGATCTTTTCTGCTTTCTGTTATAGGTAAGTAAAAAAAAAAAAAAAAGGCGAATAAAAATTTGAGGACGTCTGGCATCACTTCGATTCAACCGACGCGTTTCGAAATCTCATCCGATCGAACGTGCCCGGAAAGAAAGAAAAGGAACGCTATTCTTTACGTCTTTACGGTAAATGGTGATACGCATGGAAAGCAGATCGAGATATGCTTCTCGTCTCCGACATATTTGAGCTTGGCACACTGGAGGAATCGGTGAGGAAGGGGAATAATAAAAAGTAACTGTTCCCTTGGCCGATCCCATAAATGACCCCGAGCACGTAATATTAAATTTTCAAGCATGATTTTTCAACATTGGAATACTGTTTAACCGATCGTAAACCGTGATTTTGAATAAAACTAGTCAAGAATATTATTTATTAATCGATCATCATTTTTGTTGTTTTAAATGGCTTTCTTTTTATTTTTTATTTATATTTATTTATTTATTTTTTCCTTTTTTTTTCAAAAAGAAAAAAAATGATCGGAAAGTATATGACATATCTACGTTCAATAACGTGCAATACAAATTTCATACAAATTCATATATATTCTATTAAATATATAAAATTGTACATCGTCAATTTGAATCATCTAAAGATAACATGCACTTGTTTAATTTCACATTGCGTTATCTTGCATCAAATGAATTTTTATGTTTATTAAGATTCGTAGAATTCCGCAGAAGTTACTTTCGGACGAGTCCGAGGATTTGAATCTCGCCAAAATTAATCCGTTCGCGATAGGGCAACGATAATATATACTCTGCTTGTAAACGACGTACTTTCCCCAAGAGAAATACCACTCTCCGTTGGAATCCCTCCGTTTATTTGCCGGGAGCGTAGTCGATACGATATTTCAAACTCTCCGCATATTTCTTGAATGCGGGAGAGGGTAAAATAGAGAGAGAGAGAGAGAGAGAGAGAGAGAGAGAGAGAGAGAGAGAGAAAAAGAAAGAGAGAGAGAGAGAGAGAGAAGAAGAAGAAGAATTATGAGTACGTGAAATCTTATCGTTTATGTTAATCGTTTACTGAATTCCGGTGTATTACGATCTAATAAATCGAGATTACACTCGAGCCGTCAACATTTTTCGGAGGCTAAAAGTTTAAGTTATTCACGTTACTGAACGAATCAAGAACAACGATTTTGATAGAACAAATTTATCAAAGTTTGATCTATCGAAGATGTCTATGTTAGGTTATAATTATCGACTTATCCGATGTACGGTGCTCGGAATAAAGCATCTATGAGTGTAATGTATTATCGAGTGCAGTACGCATTTTAATATCTGAATTTATATTATAATTTGTTACAAAATTCTTTTTTAGAAAGCAATTCCTAAAACGTGAAACGTGCATACAACACGTCAGGAATAAATCGAATAGCACCTAGTCTACGTATCTCGTCGAATTTCATTCTATTCTTTCTTTTTTTTTCGTTTCTTTTTTCTTTCTTTTGTTTTTCTTTTTTTTTTTTCTTGAACCGTATTTCAACCTTTTTCGCGCATGTTAACGCCGTAACAAGAACAAGAACAACGTCAACAACAAAACGGGAGTAACGGTATTAGTGAGAGAGAGAAAGAGGAAGAGTCAGAGACAGAAAGAGAGATAGGCAGAACAACGACGATGAATGCTGTCAACTGTACAACGAAGAAAAAGAGAAATAGAGAGAGAGAGAGAGAGAGAGAGAGAGAGAGAGAGAGAGAGAGAGAGAGAGAGAGAGAGAGAAGATAACAGGAACCAGGAGAAAAAATCTCCCCTCTTTCACGAAGGAAGCCCCGGGCGATGTTACGCACGATAAATTAATCCAATCGTCCCACCTACGTGAAGCTTCCTTTCTCTCTCTTAATCCCTTTTTCTATTTCCATCTCTCTCTCTCTCTCTCTCTCTCTCTCTCTCTCTCTCTCTCTCTCTCTCTCTCTCTCTCTCTCTCTCTCTTTCTTTCTCTTTCTCTCTCTCCCCTCGATTCTCGGTACACCCGTTGTTCTCTCGTTTTATCGATAGTTCACACCTGTAAAGTTCTTACAAAATTTTTACTCTAAACTCTCATTTAGTATCAGCATCATCAGGATCAACATCATTAGCTTGTACATTATAAAGTTAATAACGTAGGTTAACATTACAATGTGGTTAAAATGGAATGTACTATATGAGCAAAACGATCGATATATTTATTAAACATTGAATTCTCTCTTCTATATAAACAAATAATATAATAATTAAATTAATAATATATAAATAAATAAATAAATAAATGTAATATGCATATTCATAGTTAAATGAATTTCCTACGATATATTTACTATCTATTATGATTTATTTTTGGAATTGTTATGTATCTATTAAAATGCGTCGGTAATGGATCATTGTCGATGGAACTAAACGAGATCCACGAAATTACAGATTATAAATTTATACGTTGAATTCGACTAGAAGATTCTTGTTGAAAGTAAAAAAAAAAAAAAAAAAAAAAAATAAAATAAAATAAAAGAGAAAGAAAAAAGGGATAAAGAAAGAGAATATAAAATAAAGGAGAGGAGGAGGAAAAAGATGAGTAAGATGAGGAAAATATACAGGGGCGATATTTTTTCTGCTGTACGTGCGAGTATTCCTTTCTGGTAAGGGTGCTGCAACAGCCTTTCCGTCGGGTTCGCATAAAAATCACGTAGATTTATGTTGTGACGGATGAAGTAGCAGACAGATAGGATAGCATAAGAAAGAGAAAAATAGGTAGGAAAAGAAAGGGAGAAAGACGATTTGAGAAAATCTCTCGAGAATGTAAAAAAATATAAATTGAAAAGAACTCTGGCGAATTTTTGAATAAATCGTGTGAAAATTAGAAGCAATTTCATTGATAAAATCGGCAAGGAGATGATTCAGAGAAAGAGAGAAAGAGAGAGAAAGAGAGAGAGAGAGAGAGAGAGAGAGAGAGAGAGAGAGAGAGAGAGAATGTAAGTCCTTATTTCGATTCACGTACGCTTTTTCGATATCGGCTGATATCCAGCGGTTTTAATACTCTTCTGCTTTCATAAAGAACGAAAGAAAGATATAAAAAGATATATATATATATATATATGTATGTATGTATGTATGTATGTATACATATAGAAATGGCATTTTCCTCAAACGAGATTCATTCGTATTCCGACTCAGTCGGAAACTTTGCGATAATTCGATGTCTCGACGACTGCTGCAGCACAGTCTCCGTCATCGTCGATGGACCAAAGCGACTCTACGTGACTTCTGCGTCCTCTATTTCTCCTTATTTTTTCTTTTCCTTTTCTCCCTTATACCCTTCCTCTCTCCAATTTTATTCCTTTTTCTTTGAACACGTTTCGGGCCTTCCCGGAAACTGAGAGAGAGAGAGAGAGAGAGAGAGAGAGAGAGAGAGAGAGAGAGAGAGATGAGGGGAAGGTTTACTATTTATTTATTCCTCTCTTTCCTTCTCCAGCAAATTTCTTTTTTTTATTTTTCTTTTTTTTATTCTCCGTTCTTTCTTTTTTCTTTCTTTTTTTCTTACTTTTTTTTATTTTTTTTATTTATTTATTTAAAATAATATAGAAGAGATAAAAGTCGACAAAAAAGAATGAAATTATCTCCATAACATATGTAGATTATTTGATCGGGGAAATATTCATATATTTTTTTTTTTTTCAAATCGAATAGTTTTTGTTAAACTAGGCAAAGTTCTGGGAATGATTTAAGTGTATATAGAAATTTGGGTTATGCTGTATGAAGGATCTAACGAATTTAAACAAAATGTATAGATTTTAGTCATAGCCAAGATAAAGAAATAAATAAATATTTACTTAGATTTTGTTTAAATATAAATATAAAAGTCTTCGAATATTTATTTGATAAATTGTATTTCAATCTACTATTTATAAAATCATATCGAGTAACGATAAATGGAACGAGTGTAAATTGATTTGTTAAATATAACATTTCATTTGATTAAACTTAATAATAATAATAATATCGTTTATATACTCACGAATATTCGTTATTTTCGATATAGAAGATATTTATAGAAAGATATGAATTCGAATGTGACGGGTATCAATTTTCTCTGGTGGTTAAAAGAAAAAATAGGATGTATCGAATCAAAAGCCAACGTACGAAGTGAAATCGCACGAAATACCTTTTTTTTTTTACGGGATGAACGTTTATTCATTTTTTGTTTTTGTACATATTTTTTTTTTCTTTTTTTTTAGCTAACACTTTACGTGCGTGCACTAGCGTGTAACGAGTTCGAAAAAAGACCGCGGGAATTCGACGCGGGCGATTGTAAATAGCACTACGATCCGTAAAATCTTGCATCGAATTGGAAAATACTATTATTGTCGCCGGTGGCAGCATATCCGTGTTTGACGGTACATGTTTCTCTCTGCACGCGTGTATCTTTGACGGGCTTGTTTAAGCCGGGTGTTAACTTTAACTGGTTTTTTTAATATTTTTTTTTAAAGCAAAAATTCGAATAGTCGGATTATCGAATTTGACTGATAGAAAAAGAAAATCCTCGAGAAATGTATTGATTCTGCCACTTCTCTTTGAACGAATGGAAAGATCTATTTTTCCTATTTTTATATGAAAAAGAAAAAAAAAAGAAAAGAGATAGAGAAAAGAAATAGGAAAAGAACTTGAAACGTATTTGGCAAGTAGCGCAATTTTAGTCATGTATGTACTTATTTACGTGAAATTTCATTCATCGTGTAAGATCCATCGAACGAATGAACGAAAAGCGTTCTCGAATGTTTATTTTTTAGCTTTGCCATTAAAAAGCGTTCGAATTTGATATACACAAAGAAAGAGAAAGAGAAAGAGAAGAAGAAAGAGAAAGAGAAAGAGAGAGAGAGAGGTGTAATTCTCAAGGAAATAATTTAAACTCTTTCAAGAGAAAAAGATATTTGCAAAGAAGGATCTCTCTCAACGTATAGAATAGTCGATCTGAAATAGTAACATTTTGTGAAGTGTCAAACAGGTTTATTGTCTATGGTCTTCTCCTTCCCCTTTTTCTTTTCTTTTCTATTTAGAGAGAAAGAAATATATATATATATATATATATATATATATATATATATATATATATAGAGAGAGAGAGAGAGAGAGAGAGAAAAAGAAAGAGAAAAAGAATAAGAGTTCTTACGCCATCACGCTTTTCCGTAAATATAGCCGGCACTTGCTACGTTCAAACCAACCAACGGGTATTCCCTAAGG